CTTTGTCAAGAAGCCGAAGAGAAAAAGATGCTCGCTGGGAAAGGATTTCTTCAGTCAAATGGCAGAGGAGGTGAGAGGGCTTTGAAATGAGCCGTTGTGTACTCAAAAACACCCAGGGATTCTTAGGAGCCTTCAATCTTGAGGACAGAAAAGCAAAGCACTATGATCAAAGAAGTGAGCCTCAGGTGTTTCTGAACCTGTTCATGTTCGGGTGTTGAGCAGATGGCATTTCTGGGGAGATCTCCATTAGAAATAAGGACACCCTGACAAAACTGAATGTGTGGCTCTGTGCTTTGTGGAAGACTTCTTGTCCTCTGCAAGTGAGGAGGCAGTCATTTCCTACGCTCTTGTACCCTGGACTAAAGGCTCTCTGGTCAATGTCTCAAGAATGCTTACACCCATTCTTTATCCAAGTCCTTTCTCTCAGATAGGGTTATGAACATGAAATTTGCTCAAGTCCAATAATGGTAAATATTCCCACTCTCCATGGCTCCAGTGTTGAGTACCCAACTGTGGTTGTGGGGTTGCAGAGCATCACAGAAGGTTTTTAACGGCAGAAAGTCCTACTGGGCAGCTATGTGCAGATTCATCTGGCTAGGCTACTCAAGCTATGTTTTCTGCCTCGTTTCCACATGTAGCACACAAAAAGTTAGACCAATCCCACAGCACCAGCTGTGATGTCTTGAGAAAAACCAGCTCAAAGACTTGAGCCAGAAAATGACATAGCTAGCAAGATCAATAGAAAGCCCCCGGATTGGGAGAAGATCTTTACTAGCCATACAACAGACAAGGGTCTCATATCTAAAATATACTTGGACCTCAAAAAATTAAACCCCCCAACAACAAATCCTCAAAGAAACAACTGCCCAATAAATAAGTGGGCGAAAGACTTAAAGAGAAACTTCTCTGAAGAAGAAAGAAGGATGGCCAATAGACACATGAAGAAATGTTCAACATCCCTAGCCATAAAAGAAATGCAAACCAAAACAACATTGAGATATCACCTCACTCCAGTTAGAACGGCAAAAATCAAGAACTCTAACAACAACAGATGCGGGAGGGGATGTGGACAGAAAGGAACCTTACTTCATTGTTGGTGGGAATGTAAACTTGTTCAACCACTTTGGAAAGCAGTATGGAGGTTCCTCAAAAGACTTCACATAGAGCTCCCCTATGACCCAGCAATCCCACTTTTGGGCATTTACCCTAATGTTTACAAAAAAGACCACACTAAAGCTACCAGCACAACTATGTTTATTGCAGCATTATTTACCATAGCTAAGATATGGAACCAACCCAGATGCCCCTCAGTAGATGAATGGATCAAGAAAATGTGGTATATATACACAATGGAATTCTATGCCTCCATCAGAAAGAATGACATTGCCCCATTTGTTAGGAAATGGAAAAACGTGGAAAAAATTATATTAAGTGAAGTAAGCCAGGCCCAAAGAAACGTAGGTCCCATGGTTTCCCTTATTTGTAATATCTAGTATATGTATGAGTCAAGCGGAAAAGGTCAGATAATGTGATGTCAGGAAAATGAACCCTTAGATGTGTATTTTAATGTTTTTTTTCTTTCATGCATGTGTTTCTAACACATTTATAAGATTATCTCTTTGTTGCTTTGTATGTCACTCCTCCACAGTATAACCCCTGCTTTCACTATATTTGATGTCAGTATAACTTGTGGAGGAGATGGGGAAAAACCAGTTGTTTAAGGATACAGGTGGACCTGTTGCAACAATGAGAAGTACAAGTTGTTATGTCCAAAACGAGCTTTACAACGTTGGTGCGGGGGGGGGGGGGGGGGGGGGGGAGGGGGAAGGAGAAGGATTGGGATTGGGTGGGAGGGGGGAGGCTGGGAAGGGATGTGAAGGATAAACAAAGGAGGAGGCTGCAATGCTTGGTAAGAAATGTACGCATTATCCTGCCCATGTAACTGTAACTCCTCTGTACAGTATGTTCACAAATAAAATTAAATTAAAAAAAAAAAAGAGGACCAAAAAAAAAAAAAAAAAAAAGACTTGAGCCAGAAGCGACCACTTTTGTCATCTTCTGTGGCTGTGACCAAACACCTGACCAAAGCCTGTAAAAGGACAAAAGGATCCTTTCGGTCCAAGGTTTTATGGATTTCCATCCATGGTCACTTGGCCCCCTCTCTTTGAGCCTCTGGGGAGGCAGAAATCATGACAAAGCTGTTGAGCTGGTGATGGTCAGGAAGCAGAAACGACATAATGGCAAAGCCAAGGTCCCAACAACCCTTCCCATGGGGACCCCATGACTTCACTTCCTTTTGCTTCTTAAGTAACACCAGAGGCTAGTGGCCAGCCTTGAGCACATGGGCTCTGAAGCAATTTCAGTTCCAGGTATTCATAGATACTGGATGGAGCTCAGAAGGTTGTATGCTAACATTCCTGAAGAGTCTTACAGATCTCCGACCTTCCCCCTTCCCCCTTCCTCATGCCTGATAAACATAACATGAGATTGGACACATGACTCATGCATGCAGTCCCAGCTAGTGGGGAGGCAGCAATCGGGAGGAACACACTTCAGGGCCAGGCTGAATAAAACTGTTAGCATGACCCTACCTCAAACAGTAAGCTGGGTGTGGTGTGGCGGCATGCACCTGTGCATGTAGCTCCATGGATGACTGCAGGTTCAAAGGATCCTGGTCCAACCTGAATTAGGAAAAACTAGGAAGGGATATGATAGATTTGCCTGAGAGAAGAGTAGGGAGTAAATTACCAGTGTGGTAAGTCACCAACAATGATAAAAACTAACATCATATAGGGCACTGGTGGCTCATGCCTATAATCCTAGCTCCTCAGGAAGCTGAGATCTGATGAGTGCAGTTCAAAGTCAATCTGGGTGGGAAAGTCCAAGAGACTCTTATCTAAAATGAACCACGAAAAAGCCAGAAATAATAGCCTTGAGCATAAAGTTTAGGGGCAGTGCCTATGCCCTGGGTTCAAACCCCAGGATACACACACACACACACAAATTATGACACAACTAACCTCACATCTCAGTATATAAGAATTAGGAAAAGGGGCTGGGAAGGTGGCTCAGTGGTAGAGTGCTTGCCTTGCATGCCTGAGGCCCTGGGTTCGATTCCTCAGCACCACATAAGCAAAAAGAAAAAAGCCGGAAGTGGTACTGTGGCTCAAGTGGTAGAGCGCTAGCCTTGAGCTGAAGAGCTGAGGGACAGCACCCAGGCCCAGAGTTGAGGCCCCATGACCGGACCCCCCCCCAAAAAATAGGAAAAATATTTTATCTCAATGACAAATATATTAGTAGATTAAAATAAGAATTTGTATGCTATAGACAGTGGATAACAAGTCATCTGTAGTAGATGCAATGGCAATACACAATTTTATTGATCTCAAATACATTTTTTCTTTTTTCTTTTCAGGTAAGGCATAGGTTTATTCATCCTTCTGGCTGACACCTGGCCATCTTGACCCTCGGTGGGGGGTGAGGGGGGGGAGGAACAAGACCTGGGAAAGAGCTAGAAAAGAGCTAGAAAAAGCACTAAATTTTTTCTTATAAAAGCTCTACGAAAAGATTGTAAATTGTGGTACATATTTGCTGCTTATAATCCAATAAAACTGGAAATTCCCGATAAATGGCTGAACCAAAATATCCACTTAAAAGGATACTTCTTTCTCAATGATCTTTGAAGACAAAATAAGGAAAGCTATCTGAAAGCTCCTCACAGGAGAAAGGAAACATTTCTCTTTACAACGAAACATTGTATCTTCAGCTTTGTTTCCCCTCTCATCACATCCAGCACTGATGCTGTTAGGTCATTCATTTGGGCAGTGCTTCCATTAGGAAGTTGGGTTGACTATTCTATTCTTGCATCTGATAGAATTTACCATTTCATGAAATGTAGCTTTCATGCAAAATCTGAACTCCACTGTATGGTCATGGATATGAAAGCTTATATTTTGACCGTCTTAGGTTTCAACAGTCTGCAAGGATATCTGGAATGACAGTGTGTATCTCAGTTGTATAAGGTTGAAGATCTCAGGCTCCTGAGACACTGAAATTGCAGATGTGAGTCACAGCACCTGGCAGGTAATTTACAGTAGAGGATTGAAACAACATTAAGTGCATTAACCTCTATTGATCTCTTGCTGGGCTCCTTTGCTACTGCTCTGTGGAGGAGTCTAGAAGCATAGTCCCCACTTTCCTTCCTGGTCATGTGTGTCTGCTTGGCCAGATGGAATTTTGTTCACTGCAACTCTGGTATTATAAACACAAAGGGGAAGTGCTCTTGCCATGGCTTTCTTCAACTGTGTAGTGGAGAAAAGATAATATATCTTCTTCCTGTAACTGGCATGAGAGCTCAGGAGGGCAACTATTGAAGAATTACTTGAACTCAAAGAAATGATGAGTCAAGAGGGTTTATATTCCCTTAGGAAACTGTGAGTGGCTCTGGCATTTGACTGATGTGCTTTCTGTGATCTGTATCTTCTCCTTTACATGTTTCCCTGGGTTTCCCTTTATCAGTGTGCTTATAGTTTTAGGCAGGTACTTGCTTTGGAAGAACTGTGATTTTGGTCTGACTACGTTTAGCTCTTCTTGCAGCTCAGCAGTGTCTCCCTCCCTGAAGCACTGCCCTGGGTCTGGTGTGGCCTCATTTGATTTTCCCCCAGGGTCCTGCATGGTGATTCCAGTCCCTCCCAGCAGGTTGAGGTGGATTCCCTGCCTGCACAGGAGCCAGCAGCTTCCCACACAGATGATGGCTGTTGCAAAGGAGACATTTCAACACTCAGATTTCCAGGCGTGTGGAACAGTTCATGAGAACACCTGACTGAAAGCCTAGCCCCTAGAGGGACCTGCTCTTGCTCATTCTGCAGGAAAAAATGAGCTCAAAGCCTGAAAGGATTTCTTCTTAGAACAGAATATGCAGAAGTCTCTGCCATTAAGGAAGGCAAAGAAAAGCACCCACCAAAACCTTGCTCTTGTAAAGAAATGGTTTTAACACGCTATTAGTGTTTCCACATAGGTTTTTAATCTAAATGACCTGACATTTGAGTCTTTGTGCATTGTGCAACGCATTTCCCATAACTCATTGGAGAATATGATTTTCTCTGGTTGGAGTGCACGCATCTTGGCTGAAGAAAGGACAGCCTAGGATACAGCCCCATGCCCAGCTCTCCGGGAGGGCTGGGGGCTCAGGAACGGCAAGATTCCCTCATATTCTGTCATCTTTGCCATGCAGATGTTTGGGGCCGACTGAAATAATCGGTTGCAGTGTGAAGAAGGCTTGGGTGAGCAGCCCAAGTGCATGCTGGGTGCATGGCTGCCATTCCCACCGCTGAGCTGCTCATTTGTCTCCAACTGGGAACTGCCATTGTTGCTGAGCTCTCTTGTCAAAGCCTGGCAACTGAATGGAGGGACTGCCTTAATTCCAGGGCTTCCCTGAACCACAGGGCTGTCCCACACCCACTGCCCCCTGGGCTTGAGGCAGCCTTCCTTACTGTTCATTTTCAAGGAGCCATATGCCCAATCCTCTGAGGACCACCGTGGGACCCCAATGAAGGAAGTGAGGTGGGCAGAGGTCAGGCCACACCACCCAGACAAAGGCTTGTGTGGCAGGTGGTGGGATGGCAGCCCCAGCTCATCAGGCTGCCTGTCCCACCACCCAGACCCTGGGGAGTCCCTGGCCCTGCAAGCCTATGTACTTACTTTCCTGAGCGCTTCCTCAGGGGAGGGCTCCTCTTGTTGTTCCTGCTCAGGACAAGTACCCGGCGGGGAGGCTCCAGCTCCCTGGATAGCTTGGAGCTAAGACAAGAAGTAGCTGGTTGGACAGCAGGCTCCACCCTGGGGGTTCCCTCCCAGGGGCCCTGGGGACTCAGGAGCTCATACACCCTTCCTTCAACAGGTCTGGTGGGAGGCTGACTCAGACAACAGGCTCTCATGGACTGGTGCTGGGGATTCCCATGTTTGTTGCCCCCACTGCCTACCCCAGCTCACCTTTCCAACTCATTTAGGCGGTTCATGTTGTTAAACCAAGATACGAAGTTCATGTCAGGAACCACCTGGAGCTCCTGACATGAGCCCTTTAGTTCCTTCATTAGTGCCATCACCTTGAATTCCTGGTTGAGAGAAAGGACACAGTGCTGATGGACCTGGACCAGGGCAAGGTAGGCCAGGCAGCTGACTTCGGGTCTTCACTTGGCTTCACTCTTGTCTCTCCCCAACACACTCGCCTTTCTCTACTGAGATCCAGTGCCCAACCCCAGCACGCTGTCCTAGATCCCCAGCTCAAGGCCCCATCTCCTGACCTCTGGAGGACAAGTGATGTGACCATCCACATCAGAGGGAAGGAAGGACCTAAGGGACCCGCACAGCTGGCTGCCTGCAGAGGAAGGTGTCATTTTCTCACCTCTCGTCTTCTTTTTACATTCAGCCAAGAGCCCTGCAAAGCAAAGAATATGTGCTAAGAAAATGCTGTTTCCACTTGGCGCCCTACCAAGTCCTTCCAGCAGAGGGCAGGCTGGGTGCACAGCTGGACTAGGATTGCTCTCAGTCTAGGGCAGGGAGGCCTAGGTCCTGAGGACAGGGAGCTCACTGCTCAACTCTCTGTGCACATGGCAGAGACTTGAGGCTTCCAGTGACAAGGCCATGCTATTAGCTTGAGCACCTGCTGTCACACTGCCACCCTTGCTCACCACCCTCTGAGACATGGCCCCATGTCATCAGCAGCACTGAGGTCTGAGGGCATAGGGCATCACAAGTAGGATTGCTGTGGTGCTTGGCACTCTGGGGCTGGGGAGGACGAGGGCTCTTGCTGGAGGTCAAGGGGCAGGGAGAGGCTCTTTGTCCCCAATCTGCTTTCCCAGGGCTGGGGCCCTGTTCACTCACATCCTTGGAATCTTGGTCTTTGTGCAGTGAGGCCAGGTGTGTGAGGACGGTGCCCAGGTAAGGGACTGTGCCCTCGGGATAGTCCTGTGGCATTGGGTGCAGAAAGATCAGAAGAGTCCTGTTAAGCTCCTCGCAAGAACCCGACTTACCCCAGTCCCATGGAGCCATCTATCTAGCAGAACTTGGGGCAAGACAGGCTCATTCCTCAATGATCCACCCTCTACCCCATACCAAAGACACAGCCCTGCATGGGGAAATCTATCTAGGTCTGGGCCCCTCCAGGGCTGGCACTTGACACACGGGCAAGGTCTGTGGCCCTGCCCTTCACCTGCTCCTCTACTCTTGTGCAGGCCTTAGTGCTGTGGCTGCAACTCATTGCTGCAACATGCCATCTGAGCAGAGGCCAGGTGTGATGGGGCATTAAGGGAGTGGGCCAACAGGTCGGTTGGGTTGGGGGACCCCCCTCAACTACTCCTTCTAGAAAGCCCCTGGCCTCAGGCATGCACACTCACCAATTGTTGAGGCTTCTTGCAGCCTCTCTTGAGTTTCTTCCAGAAGCTCTTGTATCTGGACTCTCGCCCCTGGCAGCAGTTAGCATGGATGTAGAACATACTCCTTCTCTAACCATTCAACCCTCCAAAGTCCCCTCTTGCCGCAAATGTGGTGTGACAGCCATGGCTTGGGCCCTAGGATCTCAGGCTCCCTGTGACCATCAGCACTGTATCCCTGGGCAGGCCAGAGCATATGCCAAGGCCTGTCTCCATGGTGGATGTGGCCATTTGCATCCCCTAAAAGATGTTTCTGGGGCTGCTTGATCTGAAGGGACATCTTGACCTCACATGACTGGCTAGGCTTCCCTCCTGGGACGGGAAGGCCACCCAGAAATAGAGCCAGGGCATGGCTTGGGCGTGCCAGGCTGGCGGGGTGTAGAGAGGCAGCCTCAACACAGGCCACACTCAGGAGGAAGCTTGACAGGAAATCTCAGCAGCAACCTTGACAACCCAACCCTGTCACTTTCTCCACCCTCCTCAGACACCCAGGTGGCCTCCTCCACTCACTCCACGGGGTCCCCAGGGACCTCCTCTTCCCCATACGATCTGTCCCCCACCCAAGCCCACGACGGATGCTTCTCCTAGCTATGTTGGATATGCTCCTTGAATTCCATCAGAGAGAAAATTTCCCTCGCCTCCGTCCGAGGGTCAAATCTTATTCCGGGGCTCATACAACCTTGTACACTTGCTCCTGGCAGTGTATCCTCCTCAGCTCCTGATAGACAGCTACTCTCTCCCTGGACGATGGGCAGAGACAAGGTGACAGATGGGAGAGGAAGGGAGAGGAGGAGTGTGAATGGATTTCCCATTTGGAGGCAGGACTTTATGCTAATGGGCACAGGGCTGTGCAGGGAGAGCCACTGTGACCCTTAGGTCACATGGTTAGGAACAAAGTCTTGAGGGGAAACCTCCAGCTCCACCCCAATTCCCAGAGTGGTTTTGCTTGGAAGAGCACTGCACAGACTGGTGTAGCTGTGATGTCTCTGAAGGAAAACGTCCCCAAGGGCCTTGTGCAATGTATGGCAGAAGAGGAATCCCAACCTAGCAGGCAAATCCTAGGCAAGGCCATAGAGCTGTGGTCTCTGCCATGGGGCACTGCCATTGGGCTCCCAGAAGATGGACGCTAAGCTGAGGAAGCAAGGGTTGCCCAGGAGAAAGGTGCACCCACCTGCAAACCAATCTCCACGTCTTCTTCAGGCCTTGGAGCTGGCTGCTCTGCAGAGCACACACGATTGCAAATAAGGTGGAGATATTTTTTCGTAGGTGGCACTCCTAGGAGTGAAGAATGGGTGAGGAGAGCTGTGGAGGAAACTCCTGGGCTCCCCTGCTTGGCCTGGGGCTTGGCCTTTGTTACTAGGCTGAACTGGGACAGCTTGGGGGAGGGGAATGACAGTGGAAGCAGGGCAGGAATGCACACAGCCCAAGTGAGGGCAGAGTAGGAGGAGGGCTTTAAGGCTAGGCAGTGGCTGTGAGTGAGCAGGCAGCCACTTGGTGGGAGTAGGAAAGGGAAGAAGGGTCCCTGGGCCCCTCCTGCTCATACCAGAGCCACCTCTATCCAGTGCTGCACCACTTGGGCTCTCTCTGCTGCCTCCATGCTGTGGTCCCCGAGGCACGTGGTGATCACACAACTGGAGACCTGCTCACAGTGCTCCAGTATGGGAAGCAGAGTGGGTGCCAGGCGCTCCAGACACTCCTCCTGGTCAGCTTGTACATACACGTAACTCAAAAGGTGGTAAGGGATGAGTCTTTTGAACAGTTTCTGAAAAGATGAAATGAATGGTCAGCATGACTCTGCCCTGAGGCAGGTGTGGCAGTAGAGGTGCAAAGGAAAGCCCGCACGCCCAGCCCTGCCAAGCTACTTACGACGGCCATGATGGAGAACTGATCTGCCTTCTCTTCGGGCAGCCAATCTAGCACTCGAGCTGTCTCCTCATCACTGTCTAACTCCAGCATGGACATCCGGGATGGCCCCCTGGAGGAAATCTGCACATCCTCCATCTCCACGCACTCCCAGGGAGCCGGGTCTATTTCCGCAGGCCTGTCTGCCTCGCTAGCTGGTGGGCCAGCAGGCTCTTGCTCGGCAGCACAGGTCAGAGCACCATCGGCGTCTTCAGCCACTGGCGGCTCATAGTATTTGTCAAAATAAGTAACTGGATGAATGTCCTCTCCTAAGCCTGTGTCAGCTTCCAGCTGCACAGATGGGACGGGTGCTACATCCCGGCTGGGCGGCAGAGGCTCCTGTACGGGTGGCTCTGGCTGCTCAGCAACAGACTCAAGGCAGTCAGCCTCTCCAGCAAGCGGGCAACACTGCACTTGCTTCCCAGATGGACCGAGAGACTCCCCTTGCTCCCCAGATGGACCGAGAGACTCCACTTGCTCCCCCGATGGACCGAGAGACTCCCCTTGCTCCCCAGATGGACCGAGAGACTCCACTTGCTCCCCAGATGGACCGAGAACAGACTCCAGGCTTTCATCTCCTGGAGCCTCTAGCTCTGGCCCTGAGCTGCTCACTACAATAGGTTTGGAGGGCTCTGGTTGAACTGCAGATGCGTCTCCTTCTTGGGCGGGTTGCAGAATTGGGTCACACTGGCCTTCAGGCAGCTGGGCTTCTGGAGTGGGCACTGGCATACCCTCATCACTGGCATGTATTGGTGCATCAATGGCTGGCTCTAGAGCCATTGCTACCACTGGGCTAAGTGCCCCTGGCACTGAGGGATCAGCCCCTCTTTCTTCATTTGAGTCTTGCAGGTCAAGATCCAGACTTGGTGCTGGAGATGGTGCAAGGCTGTGGGCCATTGGCTGACCTGCAGGTGGATTGATCTCTTCGGTCACAGTTGACGGAGGTGAGTCAGAACATCCGTCTGCATGGGGTTCTTGTTGGAGCTCCACTGCAGCTCCTGGAGCTGAGGGGGCCTCTGAGGCTACAGCTAGTTCCAGCTCTGACTGACATGGTAGTACTGCTTCTACGCAGGGTGTTGGATCCAGTGGGTGTACAGTGGTTTTCTCATAAAGCCTGGCAGTTGGTGGAACAGCTGCAAGCAAAGATCCCCTACAGCACTGCCTTCCCCTCAGTCATTCCTACGGCCACGAGACCCCTGCCTGCTGAGAAGCCCTAGTCCCTGGACTCCACCCCAGGAAGCCCTGCCAGGACAGGTTTCATGCCAAGGCATCCAGGTTCCCTGGCTGTCCTGTTGATGGCCCCATGGTAGCATGGGAGCTGCCTTCAGGTGGACAAAGCTTGGAATCCCACACCTGTTCTCTCCTTTGCCAGCCCATGCTACTCACCCTCCAGCTCTGGCTTCTTGAGAAGCATGTGCTCCAGCTGGCTGAGCAGAAGGCGGGCCTGCTGTTCCTCAACAGAGCCAGGCATATTGAGGTGTAGATATGTTACCAGGTGTTGCAGGCAGGACGTGTCCGGTGCTCCAGTGAAGTCTTCTGGGTACTCCCTCATCCAGGAGCCCAGTATGAAGGAGAAGGCTCTAGGTGCAGAGGGAGAAGCAGCAGAGTCAGAGGCTGGGCCTACCCTCCTTTCAGACCCCCTCAAACACAGGTGTATGAATTGGGCTCCTGGGCCTGCCCATGCCCATAGCCCACAACGGGCCTGGTCACCTGGCTGCACTACACACATTGTCTACACGAGCGATGCGACAAGACCTACATCACAGATGAAACCATCCCACCCACACCCACCGCCTGGTGTCCCTGGGCATGCTCCCCAAACTGTCATCTCTGGGGTGCTTTGTCCTGTTGCTTGTTATCTCCAGAACCCAGAATCTCCTCACTTGGGCAGCCTCTAGTGGCCTCTAGTGGCCTCCTGTTCACATAGAGCCAGGTGTCAACAGTCTTGTCCTGACTCTCAACCCAAACAGCACATCCTGGCCCTTGAGCACTCACTGAGGCCCCTGGAATCTCAGGGGATTGTCCATGATGGCGCAGTGTCGCCCTCCCCGTTCTGTGTGGTCCTGAGGATTCCCAGGGCAGGCAAATGGGACTGGGTTGGTCACATGCCAGAGGCTTCTCCCACCCTCCATAGGCACACAACAAGCACACACAATCTCTGCAGGGACACATTCCTACCTGGACTTGAGCCTTCCCCTCAGGAATCTCAATTTCCCTTTGCCCAGGCCTCCCAAAGCCAGCTCTTTGCAACCACCCCTAAGACACATGCCCTCCCTCCTCCCCCAGACACACTCACCGCTGCAGGTGCTCCTGCGCGCCTGCCTTCTCCTCCTCATATTCAAGGAAATGACTGTATCTAGGGGACACCATGAGAATGTCAAACATACTGTGTCTGCACATGATGTCTACAGTCCCAATGGTCTCTCTGAGCACAGGATGGAGCTCAGGATGACAAGGATTTCCCTGTTCTTTCACTGAGTGGTGTCAAGCGTCTGGAAATGCATCCCCACACAAGATGATGAGCCCATTAGCTTCCTCCCCCACACACACCTCAATGGGCATGGGGTCTCTCAGTGTTTCCCCTGGGCTTCCTAGTGAGGTTCAGGTAGGTCAAGATGCCCAGATGGAACATCAACCACCACTGTCAATTTGGAAAATGCTTTTCTTGAGGTCTTATTCATAGGAGGCCTCGATGTAGAGAGGAGTTCTTCATGAGAGAGGGGCTTCTCCCAGCTCCGCCCACATCCCTGCGCTCCCTAGTGTGTAAGGTCATGATGTGGACAGGCCTGTTCAGGACCCATCCCACCCCTCCAGCCTCAGGCAGTGAGGATGTTGCTCCTAGCATGCCAGTAGTCAGGATCCAAGCAGATCCTTACTGGTGCAGCACATGCCAAGGCCTAGCCAATGGACCCATCCCTAGGATCAGAGGTGGCACTTACCTGTTGAACAGCAGGTTCAACACGTGATGGGCAGTCGTGAAAGTGCGGTATGTCCCCAGAAACACTGGGACAAACACAGCATCTCCGAAGAGCAGGGCAGGCACTAAGTGGTCTACTAGCTTCTCCACTTTGCCTCCCTGCAGGTATCCTGCTTTGCAGGGATCAGGAAGGGTGGGGGCTAAAACCCACTCTAACTGCTGTGGAGAAATGAGACACAGTTCAAACATAGAAACAGCAGCACACTGGGAAAAGGCTCAGGGCCATACAATGAAAATAACCTGGGGACACACACACACACACACACACACACACACACACAAACTCATGTATTTACACCCCACTCAAGAATGTAAACACATGGCATCTGAGGCTGCCAGAAGGTAGTAGGTTAGGGGACTCGCCCTCCCTCCACACCCTCCTTCTTCCTTGATTCACCCGTGGGATACATGGTGTAGATCTTCTCAGGCGACTGGGACAAGGGATGACCCAGCGTCTTCGAACAATATCGAACTCGCTTTGTGGCGCTGTTCTGTGGAATAGCGGGCAACAGCAGGAGAACATCCTGCTGTCCCTCCGCTTTCCATACAGCTCAGCTGGTTCAGCTGATAACCAGCACCAACTCCTACTGGCCCTTTGTGACATCATCTCTGGAGATATCATCATCAATGAAGGGAAGTCCCCTCTTCTGAACTCAGCCTCAGACCAGACCTCTGCAAATGTCCCCTGGGTGCTAGCTGGGCCCCATGGCAGGGCAGGAGCCAAACTAGACACACTCCACATATACAACCAACTGTCCTCTGTCTAGTTAATGTCATGGTTATGAGGACACACTTAGTGAGTTCCCACCAGATCCCTCCTACCAGTTTAAATGTCTCCTCATGTACAAGTGCCTGAGCTTGCCTGCCTCCCCCAGTCACCCATTCATTCCTAGTGCTTCCACCCAGCACCTGCTTGAGCAAATCATACACTGAATAACACCCAGTATCTATCCAATGCTTGGGAACCCTACAGCTGGTGTCAGTCATTTTCACTGCACTCTTGTAGAGATTCAGTCCCTGCACATGGTGTCTAGACAGAGAATAAACTGCAAACCACTTGTCCTTGCCTAGGCCTCTCTTTCCTGTAGTAGGAGCCTCCAGGAGGAGGATACCAAGTTCAAGGAGGATAACTAGGCAAGAGATTCTATCTCAAATCCATGCAAGCCAACAATGAACAACAAAGAAAAAGGAAAGGCAACATCTGAGCTCTATGTGGGGGTGAGCATTTCACAAGTGCACACACAGATGAGGTCTTCTCTATTTGGAAGCCTACCCATGAGAGACTCCCTTGTTCAACACACCTATTGAGAGAGGTACACACATGACCTCACATGGACACATAGACACAGATTCATCCACACAGGCACGATGGCACACGTCTGTGTTCATTCATATGGGTCCTCACATGCGCATACTGGAGCTCTACCTGCCACAAGGTCTGTGTGCGAATGAGAGGGTGGGTGAGAGATGGGAAGCTGAAAAGAATGGGGAGTTTGTTCAGTGTCCTGTATCCTCAGCTCTCTACTCCTCTGGAGAGTCAGAGAGTGTGGCAGCCTGGGATCCAAGAGAATTTGAGGCCAATCTCTGGGCTCATTTGGTGGGCTGATGGAGTGACCAGTGTGGGCATGGAGAGCCAGTGATTTCTGCACCATGTTCACTGAGGTAGAGGTGGAAAGGGCACAAAGGGATCGGGCTACCACAGTGGATTGGGCACCACTCAGCTCCTAGGGCTGAGAATTTTCTGCTGCCACTGCGCATGGGAAGAGGAGTTAGAGTGAGAGCAGCCTGGACGTGGAGTTGGTTGATGTGGAGAAAAGTGGAGATGGGAGGCCTTCACTTTTCAAGCAACAGGGAAGTGGACAGGCGCCTCCACCACGGGGATCCTGGCAGGGGAGGGAGAACCTTGGCATCCTTTGCCTCTAGATTCCTAGGTGTGCCCTTCCCTGTCTGCTCCTTCCCTAGGTCCACCATCTCCCTTGCTCAAGATGTCACAGTCAGGGCTGAGAAGGTAGCTCAGTGGTACAGTGCTTGCCTTGCATGCCTGAGTCCCTGGGTTCGAATCCTCAGGACCACATAAGCAGAAAAAGCCAGAAGTGGCGCTATGGCTCAATTTGTAGAGCACTAGCCTTTAGCTGAAGAGCTGAGGTACAGCACAGAGGCCAAGTTCAGGCCCCATGACTGAAAACAAAAATGTCACAGTCAGTGCCCAAGACTCTGATGATGGCAACTTATGCTCACTGGCATGGTTCGTGCATGCAGGGCCAAGGAGGTCTATGCATTCAGCCTGACTGGGAGCCATGGTGGGGGCTTTTTCATGGGAAACAGAGGCCAGGGTTTCCTGCTCTAAAGCCACCCAACAGAAGCCCTTGAGGTAACCCTCCAATGTGGTTTCCACCTCCATCACCAGGACCATGTTACTGGTCCTGCCGACCATGGCGCTGATCCTGCCATCTATCCCGACGACACAGTTCCTGACTCCTCCTGCCTGCTCTGAGGAAGTGACCACTGTGTGAGGGCTGCAGGTAGAATCCAGGCCTATGACATTGATTTGATATATCTGTGCTTATTATTTTATACCATTATAGACTTAACCATTTTTAATTTCCAAAGGCTAATATACCAGTGACAATTGTCCACCTCTTAGGATGGTGGGGAAGAACTAATGGAACCAGAAGTATGGCACAAGCAATTCAGCTCCACCATGGTATGGACTTTCTTTGTACACAACTCCAAATCTCACTCCCACGATTGGTAGCGGCATACTCATCCTCTTTCTCCAACATGTTTAATGGTAAGAATGGAAGCAAACAGCCAAGAACATCCAACTGTCATGTGGTGCTGGTGGTACCCACTGCTTCTTCTCCTACTGCTCCAAGCAGCAGCACCTCTGCACCACCTCTGCCAGCACCAGGCAGTGCAGGATGAGCTTCCTTTCTGCAGCCAGTTCCTTCTAAAGACCTGGCCCCAGAGCTTCTGCACAAACAGATTTGACTCTTTCTGGAACCTGTTCTTGCTGACACCTCCACTTGGTACATTCTCCAGGGATCCAGATTTGAAATGGAACCTTCAACGTCTGTTTCTTTGAAGACAGGCCCTTTCTCCTCAAGCCAGGTTAGCAGATTGTAAAAAGACAGGAGAAGCCTCACTTTAGACAGCGCATGGTGGGGAGCAGGTGGGGAGGCTTGCCCACCTTCTTCAGACATGGCCTCACTGTGCACTCAGCTTCCTTGCAGCTGTGGCTCAATGTGGCAGCTCAGTGACAGCCAGATGTCCATCACGCCACAGGCCATCAGAATTCTTAGTGCTCTTCTCATCACATTCTCATGACTCTCTCAACCTAAACATGCCAGAAAATACCAACAATTGGGCCCAAAGCAGACAGGGTCCTCTGTTTCCCTTCTGTTTCCCACTGAAGCTCCCATCAGAGCTCCTGAAAACCTACAAAGTATGTAAAACGCCACTTCTCCAAATTGTGACCCCTTTCTCTGGGTTGTTTCTCTTCCGATAGCAGGGAAGAGCTACGATGTCTGCCTGTGCAACAGTGAGGACATTTTCCTGGGTAAATTCTGTCCTAAAGAAAGGGTCTGGTTCATTCATAACCTGAGTATGTATGGCAACTGATGCTACCCAGTCCACTGGAGCCAGGCCTGGGCTCACTGAGGGGGTTCCTCTTTGACATCACTCATGAATATTTACAAATGCAACTACTCACCAACCAGGGCACTGGCAATTCATTCTTCTCTTTGCAGGAAGCCACATCCACACCTGTGTCAGCATGTCAGCACATGCTTTGTAGGCATGGCCAAGGTGGCGATTCTGGAGCAAGTCCTGAAGAACCAGACAGGGCCCGTGCCTCCTTCCACAGCATCCTGAGGACCTGAATACAGGTGTTTTTGTCACTACTTCTAAATTGGATATCTGCATGAGTGGGTCTTGAACAAACTGAATACATACTTTGACAAAATTTAAACACAGCCAATAAATTAGTAAGGACTATGGTATGTGAGGACTGTGAGAAGATGCAGACAGTACCATGTGTGGTCTATACTTGTTTCTGTGTGCTTCCCGCATGGCTGGGGAGAATGCACACAGTGTGAGGACCGCAGAAAGGCAACTGGAGTGAGGACTGAAAATCCCTGGATCAGTTACTAGTTGAATAGCAAATGTTGCCTTGGTCCTTTGCTTGTGGACTTAGCTGGGGAGGTGCTGGGAACTTAGCAGTTGGGACCTAGTGCAATAGATCACTGGTTAAGTGTCTGTCCTGCCCCTTCCTGTACTGTGCAGCCTGCTTTGGCTGCATGAGAGAAGCAGCCTCTGCCATTGCTCACTGCTGATGAGATGATGTCTGACTTACCACCAAGCCTGGACTGAAGAGGCCGGAAGCAAGCCAAAACACTCCTTTCCTCCTTGAAACAGTTTCTCTCCGTCACTTGTTGTAGACAAGGAAAGTCTAACAACATCCTTGCGAAGTTTCTTGACTTCTGTGCCTCAGTTGCCCCTTCAAGGAGTCAGTATACAGACTGAGTCAGAAAACACTTGTAAAAGGCCAGACCATTCCGGAGCAGGTTAATATATAAGGATTCCACTTCTGAGCATTCACCCAAATGATCACAAACAAAACCATACGAAGGCTACCAGCACAAATATGTTTATCGCAACATTATTCACCATAGCTGAGATATGGAACTAACCCAGATGTCCCTCAGTAGATGAATTGATCAAGAAAATGTGATATATATATATACATATATATATATATGTATATACATATACACATATTTAAAATGGAATTCTATGCTTCCATCAGAAAGAATGACACTAACCATTAATTAGGAAATGGAAAGACTTGGAAAAATCATATTCACTGAAGCAAGCCAGACCCAAAGAAATATAGGCCCCATCGTTTCCCTCATATGCAATTCTTAATATACATCTAGCATTATTTTGTCAGATGAGCAGAAAAGCTCAACAGCTATATACATATGACCAGAGAAGATGATGCTAGGTGAAATGAACCCCAAGATATGGACCCAAGAGGTCTTCCTTTATTGTAGTTTTTAATGCACTATGTGATTATTTGGTTTCCTTTGTATGTTCTTCCCCCTATGGTATATCCTCTGTTTGTCACTCTACTTGATTTTGGTACCCTGAATCTTTTTTTTTTTCACTTGTACCCTGAATCTTCTATATACATTTGTATAATTTGGGGAGGGGAAGGGAAATAACAAAACGCTGAAACAAGGACACAGGATGACCCATTGGAACAATGATACTCATAGGACAGTATATTGGAAATGAAATTTACAACTTTCCTTCTGGGGAGGATTGAGGGAGGTGGGGATGGCAAGGGATAGTGAGAGAAGAAGGGCAGGGGTAACAATGCTCGACAAGAAATGTACTCATTGCCTTACTCATATAACTGTAACCCCTCTGTACAGCATCTTTATAATAAAATAAAATATAGTATAAAAAAGAATTGAAAAGGCCAGGCCATGCTACTCATGAGACATTGCCTCCTACTGCATTTGTATAGCAGGGATTGGAGGGATGACCCCTGCTTTTCCAGGCAATTCGTGTGTGTGTGTGTGTGTGTGTGTGTGTGTGTGTGTGTGTGTGTGTGTGTGTGCGTGTGTGTGTGTGTGTGAGAGAGTGTGTGTGTGTCATGGGGCTTGAACTCTGGGAGTGGGCACTATCCCTCAGCAATTCAGCTCAAGGCGAGCACTCTACCACTTGAGTCACATGCCAATTCCGGTTTTCTGAGACTCAAGGGGTGTCCTGCCCAGGATTGGCTTTGAACCTCGATCCTCAGATCTCAGCCTCCTGGGTAGCTAGGATTACAGGTGTTAGCCACCGATGCCCGGCTTTTTCTAGGCATTTTATGGGCTACTATCATAATCAGCCTGTGTCCTCATTCACTCAACTATACTATCTGAAAGTAACTTAAGGAATTCTGTCCCAAGACAACAGTTATCAGTAGCTCTTAAGGTGTGATGATAAGGTCCAGACAGATGCCATGTTTGAGCTCAAATATCTCCTTCTAGCAGAATGGGATAAGCTGGAGGGAGAGAGAAAATAACTGGAAACATGTGAAACCATTCCTCGAAGGCACGATCAGAAGCCAGGAGTGTAGTCATTGGCTATGACAGCTAAAAGACATTGGATGTAAATAAACTTTAGGTAATATAAACAGTCTGATCTATCTCAGAATGTTTATCATGTCTTCAGATATGAGGCAGTGAAGAATGGCAACATGTTTCTCACACCTCCATTTCTTCATCAGTAAAGCTACGTGAAGGGAGCTGGGAGCAGGGGTGCAGGCCTAGAGTTCCAGTTACTGGGAAGGCCGAGGTTATGAGGATCACTTGAGTCAACTACATCAGGATCCTCCTGGGAAATGCAGAGAGAGGCCAATCTCTAAATTGAGTATGCAAATAAAGAAGTATACAGTAAAGATTCTAGTACTTGACCTCCGCAACATGCTTCAATTCTATAAGCAACTATTCACTTACTGGACAATGGAGGCAACACAAGTGGGACTACTTTCTAGTCTTTGCAAGCTGTCAGCTCTGCTGCACTGGGACAACTGGCTGTGTCCCTTGGGGTTTTCTCGGTTGTCACCCTTGTATACAATTGATACAGCCTGAAGTCTCCTTCTCATAGGTTTCTCATGACTTACATCTGTCCTTGGTCTCTAGGTGCACAGTCATTTGCATATACTGCTCCTCTTCTTGCTCTGCCAAAGTAGCAGACACCAGGAAATGCTTACCCAAGAAGGATACCAGCGAGGTCAGGCGAGAGATGCCACTAAATGCAGGAAAGCCAAACTGCTCTTCTTCCATTAGCCAGCTGTGGGCAATCACAAATGCTGTGAGGACTAGGAAGAAGAGAATGCCTGACAAAGAGCAGGACCCAGGTACATGGGAGAGCGCATGGACACAGGGACCTTGCCTTACCAGGCAGCCAAATGTAGCCTCAAATAAGAAAGCCTCTTGTAGGTTTGAACTTCAATTTTGCTAGTAAAATGAAACATGCTTCTGGCAATAGCACACAATTCAGATAAACAGTATGATGAAAAGATCTAGGCTTTAAATATAGGAAGTTTACATGTACTTAGGTAGACAGCCACCCTCCCCCTCAAAAAAACAAAAAAACGCCTCTACAGTAAATGATTTAAAGTCACCCACCATCCAGGCACAGTAGAGCAAACCGTAATACAAGCTACTTGGAACATGGACACTGGAGGAGTGTGGTTCAAGACCGGCAGTCTGGACAAAAGTTACTGAAGTTCTATATCAAAGTCTATATCAAAGTATAAGGGCTTGTGGTCCCAGTACTCACAGGCAGCACTAGGAAGGTCACTGACTGAATCTGGCACCAGGTAAATGTTCAGGACCCTCTGACAAACAAACTAAGGCAAAAGGTGCTGAGGCATAGCTCATGTGTAGCAGGTAGAAAGTCCTGAGTTATTTGCCACTGCCGCCAATAATGTTAACGTCTTCTGGCAAGAGGAGAACAACCATGGTCTGCTAAGCTCCTGAAACCCAGATTCTTATCAACTCCATGTGAAATGGCGCACATCATGAAAATGGAAATAGAGAAAACAGCAACACTGGTCAGCTAGTTCAAGAGCATCAAGTTGATGGAGTGCTAAATATTCCCTTCTCTCTTCACAAAACCACACTCTGGAGAGTGTATGCACTAGAATTTCTGCCTGATTATGAAGCTGACTGCTCATCTTCGTCCTTAGCCTAAATCTTAAACAAAACCTAAACTTAAGACTTCATATACGTTATATTAAATTTGTCAATCATTTCTTATGATTCTGACATTAACCCTTAAAACAATGAGCGTGTTCTAGAGAATGACATATACCCAGTTGTAGCTGGGTGCTGGCAGCTCATGTCTAGAATCAGCTACTTGGGAGACTGCAATCTGGAATCATGGTGTGAAGTCCATTGGGTCAGGAAAGCCTGTGACGCTCATGTTCATGAACCACAGAAAGCCAGAAATGGAGCTGTGGCACATGGTGGAGTGCTAGCCCTGTGAGGAAAAGCTAAGGGAGAGCACACAGACCCTGAGCTCAAGCCCCAGCCTTGACACACAGAAAAATTATGAGGAAGCACACAGAAAAATTCATGGAGGCACTAGGACCTAAATGAAGCATCAAACTTAGAAGCAAAATCAGCTCCCTCCAGGCTGCTCACTATCTCCTGAAGTCCATCTCCTCTGAACACCTTACACAACAGCTCCTACCACCTCCTGCCACAAACTGAATCTAACCTGGTTCTGTCACATGACTGGTGTGTGAGCTCAATGCCTGTGACCTTCTATTGCTTTACCTGTTCTAAGGTAAGAATTACCAAGTTTACATGGCTATTATGTGAGTTTCTGACACATATTGTTTTCCTTCTTGTCATAAGTCTCCTACATCATTTTCAAACATCTGGACAATGATATTCCATTGTTTTGAAACTCATGAGGAGATAAACTATCTTATCACCCATTAAAGTCGAGGATCCTAAAGATCTCCTTCTCTAATAAAAGCCACTCAGATGGTCCTGATACCCATATGAGCATCCATCCAACCACAGGAGCAGGTATCTCTAACAGGGTCCTTTTCTACTGTTCTTGCTCAAAGCATGACCACCATACAATAAATGATCCGATGTACAATACATGAAACACTGTGCACCCAGCCAATGTTCCTCTAACTTCCCGGACAAGGAAAGGAGCTGAGTGTTCAATGAGTCTGCAGACTAAAACTGACCTGTGAAGAGAGGGCACCCTTTGAGCAGTGCTTTCCCCAGCACTTCTCTTTGCAGGATTACAAATTCCTCCATCAAGAGTTCTCTGTGTTCTTCCTGTATGACTTTTCCTGTCATGACAAAAATCGGGTACACAAGCCAGTTTGGAGTACTGGGTACAGGTGCACATCTTGAGAGGCTGTGTCAGCCTCAGGACAGGACAGGACATGTGTCCCTTACAACTATTTCTCTTAGCAAGGTCCCAGTGTCTCACTACTGTAATCCAAGCTACTCTGTAGGCTGCGATCCTTGGACCAGCACAGAAACAAGTAATATCCTGGCCAGGTGTCTAGGCTCTCCCCACACCTCCTCCCACATGCCAGCTAAAGGAGACTCCAGGTGGAAGCTCAAAACAAATAAAACTCTAAAAAAGCACGACGGTAGCCACCTGTCTCCAAAGACACCATGAAACTTCAGAAGTGTTTGAGAGCCCACAAGGGGTTAAACTGGGTTCTGGAAAGGATTCACTTACATACACACACACACACACACACACACACACACACACACAAGCACATCTATGACCTGAACAGGAAGAAGTGAGACAAACTAGAGGAAGGGAGAGAATGTGCGACTCTATTGAAACTGAAGGAACCATGATTTATCAAATGATCGTGTCTTCAGGATCACTGAGAAACATTTATAATTCAAATCTTCAGTTGTACAAGTAAGATGTTAACAGTTTTTGATATGTGTTGGAATATTCATATCAGGTGTGATGTTTCCCTGTATGTAAAACAAACAGGCTCACAGGTTGTTTGAGTTACACAAATTATCTAGAATAAAATAGAACACACAGGCAGGCACCAAAGACTCACAACTATAATTCTAGCTACTCAGGAAGCTGAGATCTGAAGATCAAGGTTCAAAGTCAGCCCAGACAGTAAAGCCCAGGTAGTATAGTTCTGTCCAATTAACTACTAAAAATAGTCACAAGTGGAGCTGTGGCTCCAGTGGTAGAGTGCTAGCCTTGAGAAAAGAAGCTCAGAGATAGTGCCTTCCCCCTGAGTTCAAGCCACAGGAATGGCAAAAAAAGAAAAAAGGATCACAATGCTACTCTGTTCACAATGTGTTCTTTTATTTCACACTTGCCTGTGTGTTGGGGAAACGGGAATCATATGGGACAGGCCCCCTGGAACTCAATGTCAGGCTCCTTCACTGGAATTAGGGAGTCAGTAAGATAGTTATTGGTGTGATGGTAGTGAAAACACAAGACTGGCTGAATCACAGCCCTATAATGTCTTGCAATACCAGAAGCTTTACAAAGGACGAGCAAGTATCCAACGGCCTCCAGGGCCAGTACAAATGTTACTCCATACTACGACATCATGACCTAGCTGGTCCCAACAGCTGGCCTCTGGGAGGCTGCACTCAAGAGGGCTAACCTCCAGAGCATCAGGCAAAATGTGCTAGGGAACCCATCCCTATAAGGACAAAGCCAATACTTACTGCTCCTTATCAGTCGTTCCCAGTTGACTGCAGCCACAGGCAGAAGCAGGCAGTGCCAGCTGCAGAGATGAGATACCTCTTGGCCTCAGAAGTATTTGCAGCCTGCGATGAGGACCCTGTAAGCCACGTAGTGCATTAGAGTCGGTTCCATCATTTTGCAAACATTTGACCTCCCTCCCTGAGATCTAGATCCTGTGTCAAACACAAGGAAGCTCACAAATATGGTAAACAATCTTGTTCTTGGGGTGAAAAACACCGATGGCCAGGGGGAAATCTGTGCTGTTGAAGTTTCATCATTTTCTCTCCTTGTAATTTTCCACCTTTGCTGCCTGTACCCAACACTTCTACTACTGCATGAGATGCTGAACTCAGTAGGCTAGAACAACAAGGGGCAGAGGAAGTTAAATGTAACCTCCTTAGGAAAGAAAAGAAAAAGTAGTAAGGAAATAAGGAAACAGTTTCACTCTTAGTTTTGGCATCTCTAAGAGGTAATGTTGAGTGGATGGTCTCAAAGGTCCTCCCAATATGATAACATGACTCACTAGTCATCAGCAAAAAGGAAGGTAGAATACAATAAAATGCCAGGTTCACCCTTCCAATGAGAAAAGCACAAAGAATACAATAATACCATGCATCAACAAAAATATGGCATAAGCCAGATACTGGTGGCTTGTGCCTGTAATCCCAGCTACTCAGGAGGCTGATCTGAGGTAGCAGGGTTTCCCAGTGAGCCTAAGCAGGATAGTTCATGAGTCTTTGATGACTAATTAACCATCAAAAAGCCAGAAGTGGAGGTATGGCTTAAGTGACAGAACACAAACCTTGAGTGTAAAAGCCAAGAGAGAGTTTAAGGTCCCAAGTTCAAGGCCCAGTATCAGAATACACATGCGCACAAAAACACATGGAATGACCAAGATCACATACACAATGCTAAATGAAGTGTAACTTAGCATAACCTGTGTGGAGAACAATTCACTTACTAGAATAAAGTTGAACAAATTCAACAGGGCCTTTATTCAGAGTCCAGGATTACCCGTTTGGGTTAAATACATAAAAATATGAATTAGAGAATGCTTCTTTCAGTGGAATTGAAAACAATTTCCGGGACTGGGAAGGTGGCTCAGTGGTAGAGCGCTTGCCTTGCATGCATGAGGCCCTGGGTTCGATTTCTCAGCACCCCATAAGCAAAAAGAAAAAAGCCGGAAGTGGCACTGTGGCTCAAATGGTAGAGCACTCGCCTTGAGCTGAAGAGCTGAGGGACAGCGCCCAGGCCCACAGTTCAGGCCCCAAGACCGGACCTAAAAAAAAAAAACAAAAAAACAATTTCCATGTCTAGCAGTGAATAAGGGAAGGACAACGCACTTGGGTGGTCTAACAGCTTAGTCTTCTTTGCGTTGCTGAAACAAATGCTTGAGGTGAATCAGCTTATACAGGAGAAAGGTATTATTTCAGTTTAGTTTTGGAGGTTCCAGTTCAGGGTCATTTGACCCTTTGCTTTCAGGTCTGTGGCAAGGAGTACCACCATAGTGGGACTATACACATAATAGCCAAGGAGAGAAAAAGACAAGGGCCTAAGATCCCAGGATCCACTTCAAGAGCAAGCTGCTCCCCACGCCCCACCATTGACCTACCTTCCCTTCCATCAGGCTCTTCCTCCTGAAGGTTCCACTTCTCTTTCCTAGTGCCTCTGACTTGTCACTTGGCCTTTCACACATGAGCTTTATACGACATTCCAGATACAAATTCTAGTATCCAATTCACAGCAATTAAAGGGATAAATAGTACTTGTATAGCTCCTCGTTATGTTTTTCCAAAGAACAGATAAAATAAGAAGTTGATCAATATGTAGATCATTCCTGAGAATCAGAAAAGAAAGCAAAGCAGAGAAAAGAAAAGAAAAGGGGGAAAAGACTTTAAAAACCAAGTAATTGGACTGGGAAGGTGACTCAGTGGTAGAACGCTTGCCTTGCATGCCTGAGGCCCTGGGTTCAATTCCTCAGCACCACATAAGCAAAAAGAAAAAAGCCAGAAGTGGCACTGTGGCTCAAGTGGTAGAGCGCTAACCTTGAGCTGAAGAGATGAGGGACAACGTCCAGGCCCAGAGTTCAGGCCCCAAAACCGGACCCAAAAAAAGAAAACCAAATAATTTTCTGACCCAGGAAAGGACATAGAGTTCAGCAGAATCTCGGCAGAAAACACTTCCAGGATGCTCACACACAATAGGGTTTTACAAATAACAAATAAAGTTCCCTAAAACCTACTGGATACTATGGATGATTTCTATTAAAACTTACTTATTAGTAACACAAATTATTTTAAAAGCTATCATTACTGGAAAGCTACTTTTCGTGCTGATTTACAGGTATTATTTCATGGACTCTTCTTAGTGACTTTCTATGACAAGCATCTCAGTTACATATTACTTCATGAAAACAATCCTAAAACCCAGTAGTTTCAAACAATAACGATAGTTTAAGTCCTCTTATAAAAGGGCCAGGGTTGGTGTGTATTCAAGCAGAGTCAACTAAACCCAGGCTTACTGGATGATCCACTTGCAAGACTGTCATTCACATGGTCAGGATTGGTCCCAGGCATTTACCAAGAGCTCAGCCAGGCCTGAGGGCCACAGGGCTCAATGATTCCCACATGGGTGTGGGCTTCCTCACAGCATGGCGGCTGGATTCCAACAGCAATACATGTCTAGGTGCTTAGCATTTTCATCATAGAGCTATGCTAGGAATATAATAATCCATTTCACTACAGTCAGTCTGTCAGTCAAGGCTGTCACAACATAATCCTGGAGACCAAAGAGAAGACACATCAACCCTACCACAAGGTGAGAGGAGTAAAAAGAGAGCAGTGTGGGAAATGTGTGTCCAGAGATCCTTGTATGGCTATCTTTGGAAAATTCAATATGCTACAGAGTCCTTGGTATCATCTCCATTTGGAAAATGGAGAAACTGTGTCCTACACAGACTCAGAAACAGTTTTCTAGGCACACAGCTCACAAGGCAGAGTCCTTGCCAGCAACTCTCCAGCTTTCTAGTTCTTCTAACATTTCTCCTGTAATTAATCTGGCCTGGATCACCTCTCCTTTCCTTTCCTGGGAAGGGTCTATGTCATGTCACTAACAGGAAGATGAAGGTAAACTTCCCATTATGGGAGATTTTGCTAAATGAGATACCTGTCCTTTCTCCTCAACTAAAATCTGAACTGCTTGGAGGACAGGAAGCAGCTCAGTAATACCTGGTATCCTCTTGAAATTTGATCTGGTTCCATGGGCACAACAGGAGTTCAATGAACTCCTATTTGAGATGCACCTATTTATTTCCAGCCTGTGTCTCTGACTCTCCACCACACTGTGAATGAAAGGCACAGGGAGAGGGGCTGGAGGCTTGGTTCTAAGCTCCTGCTCCAGGTCCTCAACCCTCAACTCACATATAGCCCCTCATGTTATATTCCTTGAATGAATTAAGGAATGTATGCATGCATGAATGAATGACAGATGGGTCTAAGTGGGGTAGTGTTCCAGGTTTATCATCACTTTCTTGATCCAAACTAGCAAAATCTAGCATAAGAGATAGACAATGCCTTCTCATTGGGACCTCCAAGCCTAAGACAAGGCAACCTGATGTTTTGGTGGAAAATTAAACCCAGTGGGCCTCATGTTGGAAAGAAGCAGATAAAAATGCATCACACAGAGGATGGCAGTGCAAAGAGTTTTTAGCTGAAAGAGAGAAAGGATGTAAGCTTTGATGTTTTCATTTTATGCTGGTACTGGGACTTGAACACAGGATCTGTACACTGTCTCTTAGCTTATTCACTCAAGACTGGTGCTTTACTATGTGAACCACATCCCCATTTCTAGCATTTTGGTGGTTAATTGAAAATAAATGTATCATGTACTTTCTTGACCTGGCTGTCTTTGAACCGTGATCTTCATAGCATTATAGAGGTGAAACACTGACAGCCAGATAGAAAGCTGCAATCTTTAAGCCTGTTCATCTTCTCTGACATTTTCTAACACTCTCCTTACTGGGATCCTGTGGTTAAGTGCAGAAGACACAAGGAGAAGAGGAGGAGGAAGCAGTCAGTGTTCCCTGATGCCTCCTCTACTCCATGCTGTCTGCTGAGTAGAAGCTTGGGTGTTTACTCCTAGACAGTTTCATAATGAAGTGAAATGGGGCTGGGAGAAGGCAGCTGCAACTGGAAGTAGGGACAAGAAGTAGCTGAGATGCAGCAACCAATTCCAGTTCACCAAGATTCTACATTGGAAATCCCACAGTTATCCTGAACTGTTAATGGAGTAACTCAGAGGTTCATTCTCCTTTACCACACATCTCTGTAAATAAATAAAACCCTCGGGCTTCTACTTACCATGCCAATCTAAACCTGGTTTATCCCAGGTTTTTCCCATCTACCACACTTTCTTGGTTTGAAAAGAAATCACTGCCGGAAGGTACACACATTTTCGTTTCCCACAATGAGTGGCACAATGAATTGTAACTGTGGAGCAATTGTGGAGACATTTTTCTATTTTTTGCTTTGCCTTCTAGAGTTCCTCCAGCAAAAATTAATTTTGCTGAGTCTTGACCCTTAAGGGTCTTAGAGGGAGGTCATAAACTGACCTCAATTGAAATGCTGAACTGAAAACTCTTTGTACAACTACTTAATAAGATATGTATGTATGTATGTGGATTTATAAAGCATTTACTAAATAGCATGCTGTGCAAATGAAGAAATAAGAGAGAGGTAATGCATTCTCTTGTCTAATTTCTCTATTGTGTTGAAAGGTATGTTTTCATAAACACAGTCTACCAAAATATAGGGTACTAGTACATCTGTATATCCTAGCTACTCAGGAGGCTGAGGTCTGAGGATCATGATTCCTAGCCAGCCCAGGCAGAAAAGTCCGTGAGACTCTTATCCTCAATTAACCATCCAAAAGCCAGAGGTGAAGGTGTGTGTGGTCAAGTAATAGAACTCCACCAGCCTTGAATGAAAAAAGCCAAGTGAGAGCTCCTGAGACCCTGAGTTTAAGACTGTTGAGAGAAAGATTCATATGATCAGTGAGCATAGTTTTTTCCTTGCCTGGTCTGTAGTAATTTGCTGTGCTTTATCAAAGGCACTCAACAAGCACCTCCACAGTCTGCACTTCTCAGCATGGTAGGGGAACAAAGTCCGTGCATGGCTGCAGCTGTGTGACTACTGAGGAGGGAGCTTGAGTCTTCCTCCACTGTGAGGCCCTGCCTGGGAATTCAGGTCCTGACACCTTATCAGCTGCCTGGCAACACCTCAGTTATGAGGTAAAGAAGGATATGTTAAGATGGTAACAGAGCTGGGAAATTCCTACCACAAAGTGATGTCCCAGGCTCCAACAGCAAGGCAGGCCTCAGTGTCTGTGATGACATGTGAGAGGCCAGGTGCCTGCAGGTACCATGGAAAGCCAGCACTCTCTCCACTCTATAAGCACACCACCCTGCTGTGCCCTGAATGCCTTTGCTCCTTTATGTGTTTACTACCTGGTACTTTCCAGCCCTTACAGCATGTTTCTTCTTCCATTAAAAAAAAAACAAAAACAAAATCAGCTCCCATTCTATGATCACAGCCTCATACTTTGAACAAGATCGCTAAGGGACAGCATCCAGGGTCTGAGTTCAAGCCCCAATACTCTCCTGTGCATCAGTGCTGCCCAGGCCTTTTCTAGACCCAATTATACTTCTATGTCTCTTAAAGTCACTGCAGCTTAGTCTTATCTGAAGCAAGAATATCAGCTCCATCACAGGTCTGCTGTGCTCACTCTGCTTCATCAAATATGGGTTAACAGAAACAAACAAACAAACATATAAGTATTCCTTTTAAGCCAGCAGGAAGGTCTCACACATTTCTTCCACATTCTGGGAACTGTTCACTCAGGTTCCTCATCCAGAATCCTATCCCTGAAAAATCTGTAGCTTCCTTTGGGAAAAATCTCAACACAATCTTTGTAAAGCCTCCCCTGAGCCTCCTAAGGCAGTGGAGACAGTTCAGAACTCCAGGGATGTCTTTGGAAATGACCTTCAAGCCACTGACTGTCTACAGTGTGAACTCTGACAGCTCCCCACCCCCAGGCCTATGTGTTAGGTCTGATGGCAGCCTGGAAGGTTCTAGAACATTAGCAAGAAGGGCTTAGTGGAAGGAAGTCAGGTCACTGGAGACTTGTCTAAGGGATGGTGGGACCCCACCCCTTCCTGTTCCTCTCTTTTTGCCTCCCGGCCACCATAAAGTAGGCAGCTTTGCTCCATCCTGTGCTTCCACCATGAGGACTTGCTTTGCCACAAGGTCCAAAGTCAAGGGGCAAAGACACCAAGACCCAAATCTCTACAACCCAAATAAACCTTTCTTCCTTAGGGTTTGGCTTGTCTGGGTGTTTTTGTCACAATGACAAAAACTGATAACACAGGTGTGGAGCCGACCCTATGGCTTTCCTAAGTCAGATTGACACCCAGACTGCTCCTGTCAAGAATATTAACCTATGTACTTCGGTGGAATCAAATGGCTTGACTCATGGTCAACGTTTTTACAGTTCAGTTGATAGAATAATAGGAAATCTCTGTGATGAGCTGTATTCACTGAGAGAGGAGAAAAAAAGTTTTCTTTGGTGGTGCTGGGGTTTGAACTCAGGGCCTCCCATTTGCTAAACAAGTGCTCAGCCAATTGAGTCACTCCAACACTTGCTTGATGCAGTATT